ATTTCTATCATTATTATCTTCATTGATATTGCTATTGTTACCATTATTATCATCATCATTATGTTATTCCTATTATTGTTATCCTCATTGTCGTCATCATTATTATTCTGTGTTGTTTTCATTATCTTCATTATTATCATTGTTATTTTTGCTGTTGCTGATATTATGCTAAGAATATATGACAAAAATAATGCAATGGTGATAATACTCACGATATGATAAGATAGAATGATAAATAAATGATGATAATAATGATGACGATAATGGTTATAAAAATATCATAACATAATGATAATGATAATGATACTGATAGAAATAGTGATAAATAATAATAATAATAACGTGATGATAATGACAGTAATAGATAGATATAAGAACATAAAATATAATAACAAGATAGTGAAGACTGTTGATAAATGTAATGATATAATGATGATAATAATAACAATAACAATATTAATAACAACACGAATGATAAAAATAGTGATGATAATATTATAGTAATAGTGATAATAAGAGCAATAACAATTATAATGATAATGAAGAGTAACAATAATCATTAATTTATAATGTTAATAACAATAGCAATGCTTACGAAAATAATATATTATTATCAATATCTTTATGTAAATGATTGTAATAGTAATAATATTGAATATTACTATCATTATTGTTACTACATTACAATTACCATGCCAATAACAATTATGATAACAATTTATTGTTTTCATAATTGTTGTTAGTATGGTTATTATCAGTGCTAAAATTATTAACATTATCATCATTATTGAACTTTCCATATATGGTAATAATGATGATAATAACAATAATAGCATTAATAATGGTAATGATATTAGTGATATTAATAATGATAATAATGATGATGATACCAATTATTATTATCATCAATTACTATATTTTAGCACTATTATTATGTTGTCATTCTCCTTCATCTTATTCTTATTATTCATATTATTTATATCATTATTCTTATTATTGTTTATTATTATTATTATTATTATTATTATTATTATTATTATCATTATCATTATCATTATTATTATCATCATTATTATTATTATTATCATTATTATCATTATTACTATTATTGTTAATATTATTATCATTATTATGATGATGATTTTATTATTGATTGTTATTATTATCATTATTATTATTATATTATTATTATTATTATTATTATTATTATATTACTATGATTATTGTTATTATCATTGTTATTGTTATTATTATTTTCAATATTATCCTTATCATCATTACTATTATCATCGTCATTGTTTATTACTATCCTCATAATGATTTCATACCACTATTATTGTCATCATTGTTATCGTTATTATCTTTTATCTCTAATCATTATTATTGTTATCATTACCATTGTTGTTGATATGATATTAAGAGTGATAATAGTAATGATAATGATGGTAATGATAATAATGATAATAATGATGATTGTCATTATTGTTATTATTATCATCTATATCATTATTGTCCTCATTATCATATTTTCTTTTACTATTAGCGTTCATATCATTTTCATTCCATTTTTG